CGAGATAGTACCTTGTAATAGGCCACAACCTACATTTTACGAATTTTTACCTACTCACCATTCATTTTGAGTTTTCCATTTTTTCGATGTTTCGCTGTTTAAACAGCGTCCTTAAACAATCTAAGCAACAATTAATCTCGGCAAATTCATGAAAAAGAGGATTCAAAATGGGTAGATTCATTTCACCACAGATTTTCCAAATCATCATTTCAGAGGTAAACCCCACTATTCGACACTTAATGACCGAGGTAACTGATAAAACGTCGTTAAATAAACCAAGAACTGGGCGACGAATCACAGTCAACATTAGGCTTACGACCACAGCAGCTGAAACACTGTCTACTGCTCTAGCCGACCCAGTGCATTGTAGTTCCTTTCCTCCAGAGTCCGATGAATCGATGCCCGAAGCGATAATCAATCATAGCCGGACGAGTGTGAAGTAGCTGCAGGTAACCGAGTGGGAATGATTATTTTATGAACATCATCCATTACACGGATCAATGATGAAAAGTTAACTACCATTCTACCCTGAAGATTAGTGAGTAGCCAGGCTTGAAGGTCTGAATTCGGCGGACGATGTCAGCTATGAATGAAACAAACGAAAGCACAAAGTATCTTCTGGTTGCTCATCTACAGAAGAAGGCAATGTCAAACCACTTCTGGATCATCTGCCAAGAACGTATATGAACAGGTCCCAGTCCGAGAAAAGGATGGAAGGATCCTGTTCATATGGACCTGTCGTCAGACAGAACACTAAATAATAATAATAATATTATTAGATGTATCAGTTTTTAATTTCTGAGACTTTCACCTTAAGATAATTGACTAGATGTTTTGTAGGCGTAGGCATGTACCCTAAGTGATAGTGATATGGAAAATGGCGACGGAAGAAATACCTTTTGAACTGCGTAATTACTAACATGTCTACTGTGATGAGAATGAGTGAGTTCAAATAAAATTGTTTTTCCTTGACCCTTCATTGATTAATTATAAAAATAAATCTCTTCCACGACTATCACCGGAAATCAATTTTCGTGTTTGTGCTGAGTGGACACATGCTTTTTAAGCAACCGTATGTGTTCATGGTTACTGTAAGCTTCGTTCGTGAGTCATCTATCTTTTTATTTTGTTTTATTCTTACGATGAATGACTGGAGAGGCTAAAAGGTCTCATATCTAAGACGATGATTAATTACTGACCTTAGTAACATCTTATAAATACCATGAGCAGAAACAATGCTGCTGTAAAACTTGGCGTGGATCTAATTATTTTGTTTGTAATATAAGGAGTTATGAATTTGATCTTTGAATAAAGTTTAAAGGAAACTAATCGAAATTAAGAGTTGAATGTTATTAATATAATATTTTGCACTTAATACGGGCCTCAGGCTTATTGTAAACATTAAATAACATATACAAGATATATGTAGTGTACACAGTATTTACTTAATCTAGTACAAAGGTCTAGAATGAGTGATGTTTCACTTCATGCAGAAATATGGCGATGATGTTTATTTGAAGGCTGAAGTTTAAAGACTATTAAAATTGACACAAAATAAAAGTACGTAGGTAGTAGGTTTGGCCCAAATATAAACACAAAACCTAGCAAATAAACCTGTATTTTTGTATTTTGTCACTAGATGCAAATAAAAGTTATAATACAAGCATAACTAATACAGAAAAATGCAAAACGCTAGGCGTGTGTTCAATCTCGCATGTTATATCCCAGCCAGAGCGTTTGCTGATGTTTGTGAATCATTTGGCAGTTCGTAACACATAAGACACCAGCACACTGGACTCGTAGCAGAATTTCGAGATTCACGAAGTGTTCGCCTCTGACAAGTTTTCGTCGAGAGACAGAACAGCTGAAATTAGTACCGCCCCGGTTTCGAGCAGTGTTACGCCGCTGCATGAATTCAATGTTTATTGATGTTTTTTAGTACTAAATATTGTTGAATTTTAAATGGAATAACCTGTACAGAAATAAAATCTGAAGGGAATAATGATGATCGAAGGTGATTTAGAATGAAGTACCGAAGAGAATATTTTGATCTAAAATATCAGGTCGGTTAAACCAAGGAGCATATCACTAGAGCTATGAATGTACATGTAACAATACAGAAATGAACCTTAAGGTTGTACTTTTAACACCGAATTCCTTCCTCTTGTGAACAGGTAATGTGTCATCAGGTACCATAAAAGGTGAAGAATTTCTTTGCAGGCTGAGTGTCAGTAAGCTTTTTAAGAAAAATCTGCTCTATGCGCTCTTGCTACGTACGTAAAATAACGCTGGCCTTGTAATCCTGGGGTCTCGGGTTCGATTCCCAGCGGTGCCCGAATTTATAACTTGTGTTGGGCAAGGCCGTGGTCTAGGCAACACGGAGTTTTCCTCCGTGGCATCCCAACAATTACTCCATTCACACACAGAAGAAGGCAAGGGCAAACCACTTCTGGATCATCTGCCAAGAAAGTATATGAACAGGTCCCAGTCCGAGAAAAAGATGGAAGGATCCTGTTCATATGGACCTGTCATCAGACAGAACACTAAATAATAA